GGCTCGTTATTATATGTATGTATTATTACAGTGTAATGTTTCAGCTGCGTATTTAAAAATGTTGTTTTTATTTGTTTTGTTGTTTATGTTGTTTTGTTTGTTTTTATTCTCCTGGCTTGTGCACAAGCTAGTGACGCTTCTCTGTAAACCAATAGCATTCAGCTGTGCGTCTTGCTCCACGTTTTGGTACCCTTTTGTTGTGCTAAGTAGCCTTTCTAAAGGGTACCCAAAAGGTTGTGCGGTACGGTTCGCCTTTTGGTAACTTTTGACAGTGGAAACGGCCATAAAAAGCGTACCGAACCGTACCACTCAGTGGCCAAAAGGGTCCATATTGGTACCTTAAAGCTTTATATTAGTTTATTGAAATTTCAAGAGGTACACTTTTGTACATTTTAGGCATTAAAATGTCCACTTGAGGTATTAATAAGCACCTTTTAGCTACAAAATGTGTACCTTTTGAAAAGGCACCACTCCAGTGACAGCTCTCGTACCAGGCACACAACATCATATGATGTTAATCTTTAGTTCTATTTTGGTTGCGACCAAAATCGAATGTCATTGTCACATCCCTTCCTGCTCACCCAATCAACATTCTCCCTCACATACCACCTCCATCCTATCCCGTGAACCTTTACCAGACTTCTAACGACTTGCACCTGTTCCCCATTACCTATGGACACTATAAAGACCCACCTTCTCGGTTTACTCGTTGACCGATATTGAAGTCAGATGGTTGTCTTCACCTTTGCTCCTTCTTCTTCTTCTCACCTTCTTCCATGGATGTTCCTTATGCGTCTTCGAGTCCTTCATACTGATCAAGGGAAGTGATTATTCTTATCTGATGTTTACTAGAAGATCTGCTATCACTCTGATGAACTGTGTGCTTGTAAACTCACCTACGGATGATCTTTATCTGCTTACTGATCCTTCTCACCGATCTAGTGGAAAGCTTACACTTGTGTGTTGTTTACCAGAAGATTCACCACCAACCAGATGAACTGTGTATCTGAGTATTCACCTGCAGTGGTTAATGAGAGCAAACACCTTGTGAGATCGAATGCTTACACTTGAGGTGTGTTTATTCCGTAAACCCACTACCTACTAGATGAACTGTAAATCTGTATGCTCTCCCACTGTGTGTACAGCGAGCAAACTTCTAGTAAGAGCTAATGCCACACTATTGATACTTACATTGCTATGAACATTACAACAGCATATACATCAACCCTTTGAACTCCCATTGTGATTAGTGACTTTGATTTTAATAAAACTTGTGAAAAGGTAACCTCCTCTGTCTTCCTTGTCTACCAGCGTGACAGTCATTTTGCTGTCTAATACTGACGTCAGCTAACATCGAATACCGACGTCATCTGGCATTGATATTTGGTTGGTTTTAGGTTGTGGCATTAACTAACTAAAATTCCATTTTTTTTTTTTTTTTTACGTCACAACATGACATCCATACACAATCAAAGTCTAACATCACTTGACATTGATCTTAAGTGAAATTTGGGAAATTTTGTCATAAGTCTAACCTTCAACATAGCAAAGCAACATCATTTTGACGTCAAACACTGACACGTACTCATAAGAAATGTTAACTAAAATCCAACATCAGCTTAACATCATAATTTCATAATAATTCATTTTGATTTCGGACTCTGACCTCAATCTGACGTTGGGTTTTGTCGTCTACCTTATTCTTATACAACCAACATTTTAAGTTCAACGTTAATTTTACATCTGTGTGACATCCGGTGCCTGCTGGGAAAGACTAATAATTAGGCTTATGCTAACTTGATTTCTGGTTTAGCAGCAGAAGAAAGAGAGATGTTTCAGTGTTTTAGGGAGTAAAGAAAAAACTGTAAACAGAAAGTGGAAAGAAAGAGGTGACAACCAAATTGATAGCAACATGCCTTTTTTTTTAGTAGCAACACAAAGTTTAATTAATTCAGTAAACACTTGTAAACGACGATGGCAAATTACTTACAATGTGCTGCGGGGTGAAATGCAACTACAAAAAGCGTGTGTATTTACAGTGTTACATGGCAACACTTTCCCGGAGGAACATTTTATTGCTCAGAGTTTGCTCTTTAATAGTTTTGGAGACATAATGGAGCTGTTTGCTATGTTTCATTTATCTTTTTTTCTTCTCATTTGTGTGTCAGCCTATTTTTTTCTGATTGAATCTTGTTTAGAACGTAGCATAAGCCACTTGTAAAACAATGAATGTTGTACACAGGATCAAATATTCATTAAATCAGGTGTGGAATAGAAACACACAGATTTCTTCCACTATCATAAGTGAATTATCATCATTAAACATGCTGAAAGTGACTGTCCATTGTTTGTAGATAGAGATTTGGGCGTCTGTTTCTACACTTTGTCATGTTTTTGTGTGTGTTTTGTTTTTGATAAGCTGCTTTGAAACAATCTACATTGCAAAAGCGCTAAATAAACATGAATTGAATTGAATTGAAAGGATAAAGATAGCTAGATAGTTTGTGTGTGTTTACTGCCCTGTCTGTTTGGAGTGTGTTGAGAGGCAGCAACTTTTACAAGCTCTTTATTTGTGTGTGTGAAGACCTTTACAGCCATTAGCGCCCAAGCGTTGTGGTACAAAATCACACTTCACTATCATCTGTTTAGCATGTAAGTTTTTTAGACTTCATTAATGCCTTCTCTATATGAATGCATTAGCTGAAATACATGTGCAAATGCAGGACATGCAAACACATAAACTCATCCTCAACATGCAAACACAACCACTTTTTTCACAGTTTAATTTGGTCACAGTGGTTTATTATGTGGCTGCTGGCTTTACCTTGCGACATGACTCTTATTTTAGCATCCGCAGAGGCGTCTCGTTAACACCGTTCGGGACAGCAAGGCCTTTACTGTCCTATTAACTACTGTACGCTTCAAGAGAGGGGGTCTTTATGCCTTCATCCACAGAGGCATCCCTGTCTGTCCTTGGATCCAAAGCTTTTTTTAACTGCACTGTAGAGTTTAAAAGCCTGAGAGTGCTACTAAAAAGTGTTGATATATATATATATATATATATATATATATATATATATATATATATATATATGTGTGTGTGTGTGTGTTAATAACAATAATAGTAATAATAATATGAATAATAATAGTGGTAAAAAATAAAATAATAATAATAATAATAACAATAATAATAATAATAATAATAATAATAATAATTATTATTATTATTATTATTATTATTATTATTATTATATAACTAGTAATATTAATAACCACATAGAATATTATAAATAATATTAATAATAGTAATAATATAAATAATAATAATAATAATAATAATAATGATATTAAAAGTAACAATATAAATATAAATATTAATTATAATAATAGTAATCATAATAATAATATAACTAATAATAATAATAATAATAATAATAAGCATTATAATAATAATAACAATGATAATAATATAATAATAATAATAATAAAATAATAATAATATAAATAATAATAGTAATAATAATAATAATAATAATTATTATTATTATTATATAAATAAATAATAATAATATTATATAAATAATAATAATAATAATAATAATAATAATAATATGAAAATTATTTAATGATAAAAATAATATAAATAATAATAATATAAATAATAATAATATTATAAAAAATTGAAATATGAATAATAATAATAATAAAACAACAACAACAACAATAATAATAATAATAAATAATCCATCCATCCATCCATGCATCCATACATCCATCCATCCATCTTACTTCATGCACTTGTATTGTATTCTCATTAGTTGCATTGAGCCAGTATGTACTCCCTATACTAGTTACCCCATTTCTACCTTGCACTTTATCTCCTAAGGATTTTCATAGAGATACACATATTTGTATACATTTGTATTATTCATACACTTGTTAGGTGCACTTTTGGTCAAATGCTTACTGCATTTCAATAAATATCACTGCATTATTTTACACAATGACTTTAAAGTAGAATCGCATCGAAATTAAAATCTTAATAACTTAATATTTTAAGTTGATCCAATGGTTTAGTTTTACAATGTACAGGACATAAACATCTTGTATGGCCTGAGGGAGACTAAATGAAATACAAATTACAATTTTAGGCGAACCATCCCCTTAAGTCAGAGGTGTCAAACTCAGTTCCAAAAGGGCCGTAGCTCTGCACAGTTTAGTTCCAACCCTAATTTAACACACCTGATCAAACTAATTGAGTCCTTCAGGCTTGTTTGAAACCTACAGGTAAGTGTGTTGGAGCAGGGTTGGAACTAAACTGTGCAGGGTTTCGGCTCTCCAGGAATTGAGTTTGACACCCCTGCCTTAAGTCATAAATATCCTACAAGAATGGCGTGCCACATAGCAGAAAAAACAAAAGAAACAAAAAAATACAGCAATTGACATGAAGAGTGTCGATACAGCGAGACATTGAGACATAATAGCACCCCTGAGAGGGAATTATGGGCTGCTGAATCCGTCACCATGCAAAGGCCACATAAAACTCACTCATGTGTGTAACTGGTCTCCAGTGTCACGCTGTTACTCAAACCAGCTTACCCACAATGGCGTTTATAGAGCTGTCAAATACCCAGCAATGGGCAAACATGCATACAGACCGGACAGCAGGTTTATTTGCAGGATACTTTCATCCAGTCGTGCGTTTTAAACAATTTAGCCAATGCTACCGAGGCTTTGGATGACTGATATTCTTTTAGTGTTCTTGAGGTTTTTGTTTTTCCATGCTGTTTTATTTGATGTGTTTGAAAAGCGAAACATCAAACTATTCATTTAATCGACATTCTTCAGTAAGGAAGTGAACTCTGGGTAAACAAACATGCTTGCAAATACCTGAGCTGAAGTGGCCTTGGTATACGCAGAGGGGTTTTGGCCAGATCTTTGTGCTTGGTTGACTGTGTTTGTGTGTTTTGTGCTGACCGTCTGCGCTTGTGTCTCTCTAGACGTAGACGAATGTCTGGACAACAACGGCGGATGTCAGCAGATCTGCGTCAACACTATGGGCAGTTATGAGTGCCAGTGTAAAGACGGGTTCTTCCTGAGCGACAACCAGCACACCTGTATCCATCGCTCCGACG